TCCATCGAGTTCACAGAGTTCCACACACTTATTATTATTTGTGTCGACCGAGATAGCCACTGAAGCGTAATTCAACGACATGGTGATAAAATGCTGACTTTACGAGTGGTGTCTCTGTGGGGTCTTGTGTGTGCTTCGCACTAGCCTGCGTTGGATTAATTCAGTCTGGAGTTGGAAAATCAGACCATGCTATTTCCAGGGTGGGGGTGGGGTGGGGGCAGTCAAACCATAATACACACGAGGCAGGACCACCCCCTCAAAATGGGCTAATTTCAGCAAGTGGTAGCTCATATATATGGACTTGGGCTTTGGAAATAGAGGTTACAATGTAAGTAAAAAAAAAAAAAGGGAGAAAAAAAAAGGGCAATTAGTTGGGAGAGAAACACTAGTCTGCTTCCTGTCTTCTGCTGAGGTGCCATTGAGCAAGGCACCAACCCCCAACTCCTCAAGAGGTGCAGTACTCTTAGCGTGACCCGTTCATTCCGGCTTCTCTCGTTGCATGCCTGCATGTTTTGCATCTGGATCTTCAGTGTCCAACACAAATCTAAAGTGTGAGTTGAATTTCCCCTTCAGTCAGGGGTGTCAAACTAATTTTTGTCGCGGGCCACATTGTAGTTATGGATTCCCTTGGGGAGCTGGTATGATGTTGTTTGTACCCCCACAAATGTCAAGCGTGTACTGTTTGAGTAACGGTATCTCATGTTGTGCCTTGCCCAGTACTTTCCACATACGAATCTGAGAGGGCTCCCAACGGTGAAGCTGAGCACAGTGCCTGTCCGCGACTCCCAAATCATCCCGTCTGTCCTCTCCAGCTTCCGCTGCCCCTCGCCTATGTGACGCGTGCCCGGATAAGAGTGCAAAACACCGGATGGAGCGGAATTCTCAGGACGCTGGATGTCTTAAACAGATGAACCCATTTGATCACACTTGTTAAATCGCCACCAATGAAAAAGGGCTCGGCCTGGGTTGTTCTGTTGAATGGACTCCTTGCAGAGGAAATGAAACGAGACTGAAACTGACTCTGGATTTTGGGCTTTATGGCACATCCGATAATGCATAAAAAGTGAAATCTACCTATTGTATATTGCACATGTCATTCACCCACTCCCAGTCTTCCTAGATATTCCGTATCTATTGAATGACTGTCTAGCATATCACCGAGGGCATAAATGAGCTATATGCACTATTTGTAAATGCATGGTGAACTCCCGGCTGTTTTTGCGGCGTATTGGCTTATTTGATGTTATGGTTATGCTCGTGGAACTGTAGCATAATGACAATCATATTTTAATTTTTCTCCATCTGATTGAAGGGCTAGCGTCCATATTCTGCCTTGGCCATTACCATGAGGTGTTCCTTTTACAGCCCTTTTTTTGAATAGGCATTTTTCCAAGTTTTACATGGATTGCATTATTTGAAATAAATGTCTTCTCTGTGGATTCTGACCGCATTGTTTTTGTGTCTTGCGGTTACAAAGCTGTCTCCGTGAGGCAGTAGGAGTGCGCTTAATAAAGCTCAGGACGGGATGGGACATTCTTTATCATATCAACTGTAATCACAATTCGATTTAAAAAAAAAAAAAAAAAAAAGCAGGTGCCTCAGCATTCACATGCATGAGTACATCTTGGACTCATCTCCGCGGAAACACCCCCCCCACTGATGCTTTTTCTGTGCACGGATTTGTATTAGGCACGTTTGAGCATGAGACAGGTTGTACTCCGCGCACTCTGCAGACTGCTCTTGTATTAAGATGTAGCATCACCCTCAGGGGGGGAGTGCCGAGATTGCAAAATAAAAGCTGACCTGGATAATTGCTGC